AGCCACAGATTCACACTGGGTGCCTTCCTCAGTTGCTCTCCACACTGTTTTTGAGAGATTATTTCTCACTGAAGCTGGCGCCCACTGTTAGGCTAGACAAGCTGGCCAACATATCCCAAGACTCTTCCTGTCTTTGCCTCTCCATTTCTGGGATTACAGGGATATGTCACCATGCCCAGCTTTTTACTCTGCTGCTAGAAGTCCTTCCGGTCTTTATGCTTGTGCAACTAGTGCATAACCAACCAAGCTATCTATCTCCCTGTGTACTCATTCACATTTCTCCAGTCAGCTACCCAAATGTATCTGATTATATCTGCAAAGATAGCCTTGGAATGAATTTACACTTGTTCTCTTCCAGCCGTTCAAGTGTTAAAAGAGCTGCCAACAGCCTTCAATGTATCCTAGACTGGACAAACTAAGAACAAAGAGATCAAATATTAGCAACATCAAACTCTGAAGAAGAAAAAAAAAAGCAGTATTTTCCTATGATGTGGATATAAACTTCTTTGAGCACAGAACTACAATTACTTGTTCTTTATCATAAGTAAGCTGATCAGGTTTAGAGAAAAAATTTGAACTGAAGTTTAAAAATCCGTTTCAAGTAGAGTATGTACTCAAATAACCCTAAGTCTGACCTCATAGAATGAAGCCCAGTAAACACTGAGTTACCCAGCAACACTGATTCGGTGTATTCCTCTAAATAAGGCTTCAGTTTCAATGAGAGTGAGGTCATAGCTGAAAGAAGGAATGGAAGAAGCATGCAGAAACAGTGACTATAATTTCAAAATGATGGGGCCAGGAAAAATTTTTTTTGCAAACAGTAAGATAAAAACACTTGGAGATAGCGGAAACAGACATGGATTTAAGAATATAAAGGCATGAATTTCACTTCAGGGCACTTGGTAACGAACGCAATCAAGGAGATGGGTCTAGGAAAATTTGACAATTTTGAAAATAGACAATTTGTCTCTACAAAGCAGACCCTCTGAAAGTTTTCTGGCATCCAGCAGCAAAATCTCTCCCCTTGTGAGGGGATATAGCAGCCAGAGACACGGAAGAGTCAGGCATCTGTCCAGGGAACACTGTCTTCCCTGCGCTCAAGGGAAGGTCTTAGGTCTCAGTGTCTTTCACCCTTCATCTTCTCACTCAGCAGTCAAGTTAATCAAGTGACAGAGTTCATAGACCCAAATGAAACTGATGGATAATTTGTTGGTTCAGAAAGCATCTTTAGCAAAACACAGAAAGTTTTCAATGCATCTATTACATTTATAAAGAAAACTTCAAGTTGCTGAAGTAACTAAACTTTACTTGAGGGAAGATGGAAGGAACCCAATCCTGACAAAACCCTGAAGTCCTCAGGATAATTTCTTGCTAAAAGGCTTTTAACAAGTTTTAATGAAACTTGTTAAAGAAGTTACCTGCTGCTTTTAGACTTTATGTAAAGTAATTTTATATAAAATATTTACAAATTGGGAATTATGCAACGGGTTATACTTAAACCTAATTAAAGCCCACCCTCCCCCCCCCCAGGATTAAGAGCTATTCTCTGAAATGTGTTCCTGCTTATTTATTTCCTACAAAATCAAGCTACTCTCTTATGAGTTCATGCAGGTAAGCTGGAATATTCCCCAATGGATTAAATGCAGATGAAGAATCAAATGGAAGCAAACCACGTGCTTTGTAGTTTTTAAAACGCTGATTTATGCTCCATAAGACCAGTAAACAATAAAGACAAGGCATTAACATTCGCTTTCAAAAGACTGGAAATGCAAGTCTGAAGCCCTACTGTAGCTGAATACACACTTGGGGAGAGACCAATCGACTTAAGAGTCCTAGCCATTCAAAAGCAGCAAAAAAGAATGTGTATGGCCGTCAATACATAATTCCAAACTGCTCTTAAACTTTTTTGATAAGTTTATCTGTGTCTCCTTGCTTGTGGTAATACTCATTAAACTTACAATGACAGCTTGCCATAAAATAATGACCCTTCTAACAACAAACAAGGCTAGAGGTAACTTAACCTTGTTCCAGTAATCATATATTTAGGAGTCAAATTAATTTGGAAAATTTAAGATAACATCTGGAATCATCAAAAGCAAACCGTTGCTACCTAAAATTCAGAAAATTCAGAAGCACGTCCTAAATACCCCTCTCAGCCACTCAGAGTTGAACCTTTCACTATTTGCACAAAACATTCGACAGATTAGGATACACAGACGCCCTTGTGCTTTGTTTTGTTTAGTCTCCTGACCTTTGCCTTTGTATACAAGAATCAGGTTCCAGTCTGACTTTCTTTCTGTGGACCACAGATGCAGTATTTTCCCATGCAGTAGCACAGTCTGCACAAACATCACTTGCTTAGCTAATATTCTCATTGAGGAGATTTGCTGTAACTTCTCTAACTTCTGTTTTCTTAATGCTTGTTGGCTCATTTTCCCACAAAAGTATAATAATAAAACTCTAAGCAGATTTTTCAATATTAAAGTATATTTAATTAAATATGTGTATGTAGGTACCTGTACAGACAATGCATGTCCCAGACCTTCAGACCTGAAGACTTATTAAACTGCCCCAGCACATAAGCCTTTATTAGTTTTTGGGGTGGGGTCATAGTCCAAGACAGTGGAAAGATGGAGTAAGAGAGCAATGATGACGCCTTTAATGACGCTGTCAGGAAGCTATTCATATCTTTTTCTCTCCCACCCCTTTGAGTGGAAGACATTTTTTCTTTTAAAGATTTATTTATTTACTATGTATCCAGTGTTCTGCCTGCACACCCAGAGAGGGCACCAGATCTCATTAGAGAAGATTGTGAGCCACTATGTGGTTGCTGGAAATTGAACTCAAGACTTCTGAAAGAACAGCCAGTGTTCTTAACCCCTGAGCCATCTCTCCAGCCCCTCTAAGCAGATTTTTTTCATTTAAAATACTAAAGTATAGTTAGTCTTTATATTACCTTAAATTAAGTGTGTAATATAAATTAGACATTGAAAAAGGTTTTCCATTTCCTTTTTTCAAACAGGCAAATGATTAGAATAAATTAGAACTAAATAAGGACTTCTGAAAATTATAATTCAACAAAACATTCTTTTGATCATCCTCTCATTTGTTGGGCTCAAAATACAAATCCTAAAAGCTCACTGTGCCAATTGCCATAAGTGAGATGCAGCAATCAGAAGATTATTAAAAAAAAGTCTTTGGTTCACAAAATTAAGAAAATTGGAAAAATGTTATATTTATTAAATAAACTACCTCAAATAGCTTTAAATTTTGTTAGAGATCTACAACTGAGAGGAAAAAGAACCAGCAGCTCTTCTAAAAGCATTTAATGCAATTAAGTAGAAGGAGCTGCGGGCTGCGTTTCTGCCACCCGGCTCCCAGCTGCCTGGCTAGCTTATGTCTCGAAATAACAACACACAAATAGTATTCTTTTAAACACTGTTTGGCCCATTATATCTAGCCTCTTCTTGGCTAACTCTCACATCTTGACTAACCCATATCTAATAATCTGTGTAGCACCATGAGGTGGTGGCTTACCAGGAAGATTCTAGCGTACGTCCCTCTTGGGCTGGAGCTTCATCGTGTCTGACCCAGAGAGGAGAGACATGGCGGTTGCCTCACTTCCTCCCAGCATTCTGTTCTGTCTACTTCACCCACCTAACTGGCCTATCAAATGGGTCAAGGCAGTTTCTTTATTAACCAATGACTTTCCTCCATCACAATTACATATTTTTCTAAATGTCTCCTGGGAATTAAAACTGTGACCCACTAAAACTGTAGGTTCTCACTCAAGGTGTGGCCCTTATAACCTCATGAGGTCCTGGAATTAAGAATGGGGCAAACATATATGCATGGAGAACTACAAAATGAGATATGGATAAAAAAAAAAAAAAACCTGGGAAGCCATTTACTTTAGAAGGAAAGGAAAGGAAAAATGCCTGAGAGTAATTGCCTAACTGAAAAGAGCACGCACATAAACAAGACCTGGACTATATGGTAAATTTACTATCACTAACAACACCAAGTGAACATTATAACTTTCTACTAGAGATTTAAGGTGCTATAGGGATTTCAAATAAAAAGGATTCACAACCTTTTGTTTAGAACTCAGGAGGGGTCTAAATCCCCAAGAGCCAGCCTACCTTAAATACTCCTGAAGACAGCCTTATGGGACTTGGGCACAGTGGTCAGTCAAACCAGAGGGTGAGACAACATACTGCTACCCATGCCCTAAAATAAAAAGCTCATTCTATACTGAGGGTCATCTTTGGAGCTCAGAGCTCCAAAAGGTATTTGGCTTTAAACAGCTTCATTTAATCTGAGAAATGTATTTAAGAATCTCAAAATTCAATCTGTGATAGAACTAGAACTTGAATAAAGAAGCCATATTATTAATATTTCTTCATCAAGTACCCACATAGAAAGTTTAGGTGTGAGCAGGAGAGATGGTTTAGCAGTTAAGAGCACTGGCTGCTCTGGCAGAGAACCTGAGTTTGAGTCCCAGCACCCCGTTGGTATACGACAACTCTGTAATTCTAGTTTCAGAGGATCTGAAGCCGTCCTCTGGCCTCTGAAAGCACCGCACACTTGTGGTGCACAGACACACACACAGGCAGAGCAAACAAATACACATATAAAGATAAACACTTTCAGAAAGATAGTTTAGGTACTTTACACCCCAGACAGTCTGTTTTATTCCCTGTTGAGTGAGTGACTTTAAGTTAGCAAGTTTGAAATTTCTTCCTGTGTGTTTTTATGTGTTTCTCTCTCATGCTCTGTGTGTGTAGGGACCACCAATATGAAATACTCCACTCCATATGTGAAGGAACTGCAATAAGAATATTTTTCTCAAAAGAAACAAATAGGTTTGCAGATGCCTGAAGACAGTTACTTGCACGCTTCTACTCCAGCAAATACATCCATTTCCTTGCCTTTCCTCTGACTTCTTAATCTTAGCCCCTGACTCCATTAAAATCAATGTGGAAATACTCTGTACTCACTCTGGCACTCTAGGAACTGGTGAATAAGAGTGCAGTCCCCGCCACTCTCTGAAAGCAAGTGTTCTAACAAAGAAAGAAAGACCTTTAAGGATATGGTTTGTGGCTGTCTTGAAATAAACAACAGCAAAGGTTTAAAAAATGAAATATTTTAACATAGGTAACTGAAAAGGACCAATAAAGTTGAATATATTTTAACACATACTTTGGAATTAAATAACTGAAAGTTGTAATTTATATAATCATAAGTTTACTCTGAATGGCTAGCTTTTAAAGATGCAGTTTTTATATAAAGAGCTAAAAAAAACAATCAAAACAAATATATTGCTTTAAAAAATATATAATATTTAATAATAATAACATATTTATTTAAAACACATTTCTTTTTCCACTTTTCATATGTACCTTTCTCCATAACAGGTTTGTAAATTTTCAAGCGATTTTTGTGTGTTTATTATTGAATTAATTTCATGTTCTAACAATCTCACTTCCAAGTTATTGGTCTTAATTAAACTTTAAGAATGTATAAAATCAGCCAGGCATGAATACATATGCCTAAGATTCCAACATCCAGGAGGATGAGGCAGGAGCACTGTCATGAGTCTGAGACCACATGGGCTACAAGGTGACTTTCAAGAGACCTGGGACTATGATATGAGCCTTATTTAAAAAAAAAAAAAAGTTGGAAAGGGGTTACCATACAATAATTTCTTTACATTTCTAAGAAATTAATGAGACAGATATATTTATACATTCATTTTTACAAATGACTTCCAATTTAAGTACCTTATTACATTACATTGCTCATCTCCACCCCAATTATCATGTTCTACACAGTTGAAAATAAGAGCTTCATAAATGATTTTGCTTACATCAGAAATAATCCATTTTGTAAAAAGTAGAATTAAAAAAGAGAAAATTAGAATTTAACGCAGTAGTTAAAGAACTCCAGCCCTTTTCCTCACTAAGTCAAAGGTCAAAGGCTAACCGATAAATCTAGACAACATTCTTCAGTCACACAGCCATGTCTTCAAAGCTACACAAGAGATTCTAGAAGGTCTGGTGTTGAGACTGTGCTCCCATGTGGTAACCAGCAGGAAGGTAGGTCTAAAGGCCGCAGGCCCGCAATGAGCACCACCCTCACTATGAACTCTTACTCCTCTCCACCTCAACAAACCCACTTCTCTGCTGTCTTGTCTTGTACAACAGGCAGATGCTCGCACTTGTAACAGTGACTCCTGACGTCTCTTAATTAACTGCCTTCCTAACCTTTCAAACCTGTCATTTTCCTTTAACTAGTTACACGGTACCCAAAGGGTCCACGAAAGATAAAAACGGGAAGAAAGATGAATACAACTTTTTAGAGAGATGAATAACATGTATAGTACAGCCCCAAGTGGAAAACAATTAAAAATTAACTGCAACAAAAATCTTGGATTAAAGAAGTAATTTAAATAAATAGAATTCATCAACAAGCTAACAGAAAACCCCAGTAGATTAGAAAATATCAAGGAAAAAGTTGTTTTATATAAACTCTAAGCCATAATAACACTTTCAAAACTCTATACAATATCATGTTAAGTGTGAAAATGTGTTTGGATAGGTAAAGAAAATATAGTTCATATATGTGACAGAGTTTTAGTTCATAAAGAATGAACTTAGATCATCTGCAAGAGAATGGATAGAACTGATGATCAGCATGTTAAACAAGATAAGCGAGACTCAGAAAGACAAATAGCAAAAGTGTCTTTCATATGTAAAATCTAGATTGAAATGTATATATAACATATGTGATATGAAAGTAGGAAGGGAATATGTAGGGTGAGGAAGTAGCCTAAAATGAGGAAGAACAAGAAAAGATAATGGGAGGGAAAAAAGACAAATATACCTACGTATGACCTAGCTTTAATCCACTTATTTATTTGATATGAAAACAAAAGGAACCATTGGGAGAGGAGGAGAACCAGTGGAGAGGGAAAGAGGAAAGGGCAAACATGCACAAGAATGTCATAACCTTTCGTATATGCTTATCAAAAACTTTAAAGACTTACTTGGAACTAAACTTGAACATACATAAAGGACTTTATGACACTTATCTGAAACCAAAATTCAGACCAATATTAACCAATTTCTGGTGATTCTTATTAAAAACCAGGAATTCCCCTAGGTGGTATGAATGAGAATGGCCTCCATAGAGTCATATATTTGAATGTTTGGTCCTCAGTGGAACTGTTTGGGAAAGATTAGGGGGTGTGGCCTTGTTGGATGAGGTGTGTCACGGGGGTGAGTTTTAGGGTTTCAAAAGCCCAAGCCAGGTCTGTCTCATGCTCTCTTGGCATGTAACTTGCAGACCAGATGTGTGCTCTCTGCTATTTCTCCAGCCCCATGCCTGTGCCACGCTTCCCACTGTGACAACACAGACTCATCCTTTGCAACTGTGAACTCCCAACTAAGTGCTTTCTTCTAGAGCTGCCTCGCGGCCATGGTGTCCCTAAACAGCAACACAACAGTAACCACAACACTCACTGTTTCTCACTAGCCTAAAAAGCACCCTAGTTTTCCACGCAGGAACCCAAAAGTTCAGAAAAGGATTTTGGATCCCCTGCCAGGTGGGTTCTAGGAATCAAACCTGAATCCCCTGGCAGAGCAGTAAGTGCTCTTAAGCACTGAGTCATCTCCTCAGCGCCCTATATACTCTATTTTATATCTGAACCCAATCCTGAAAATATTTAGTAGACTGGCTTAGCTCAAAAGTCTGCTATCAATGTATATCTATATCTATATCTACATATCTACAAAAGCACCTTTCACATGCATAAGACAACCCTGTCACCATCCTAAAGCATGACACTTAACTTCTACTTGTTTACTACTTGACTTCAGGCCCTTAGAAATTAAGTTGACACAACTACAGAGCATATTATCATCACTGCAATTCAAAAGAAACCAGATGTTTACTGGAAGAAAAACTAGTCTCTGTGATATTGGTTAAAGTTAAAGAAAAGGAAAAAAACATGGAAACATAAAAAAGAGAACTATTCTATTTGAATAAATTTTTTACACAAATGAGCTTTCTATGGATTATGTTTTCTATACTCATGTCGTAGCTATGCTACTGTAGCCACTAATTGTACACATCACTAAGTCATTCGAATGTGCTCATTCTAACAGAGATATGTGGCAGGCATAAAGTAAATACATGATTTCAAATAACTACTAAGGAAAATTAATGTGAAATGTTTCATTAATAATCTTTAAATACTGACTAAATGTTTAAATAACATTTTTGATATTGTTGGTTAAATAAAATTTAGTATTAAAATTTTTAACTTGCTTCTTTTTAAACTTTATTGTAGTTAGCAGAAATATTTTAAAGTTTACAACTGTTCTATTACTTCTAGACAGCACTATTCTATACTCAAACATATATTTAAATAATCCTTATTTTAAAAAGAAACAAAAACTTCTGGTATGAAATCTGCTTGTAAAAAAGTTAAATCACTTCAAAAAGAGTTCATTGGGAGAAGAATAAACCACAACATCTCTAGACACTGCTGACATTTTCTTTTGCACCTATACTTAGTATTTTCTCTACTATTTCAAGGGTGATGTTAACTTAATTCATAAAAACCATGGCTATGAACTTTGCAATGTTTGAAAATGTAAATGATCTTATTACAAAGTCCATTCCACAATAAAATGTGGCGAAAGATAAACATGAAACTTACTGTCAAAATGTCCTACTAGTTATTCTTATGCTACTTAACTTATTGTCAACAAAGGCCCAAATGTTTTAACAATGGAAAAATAACTATAGCAAGGAGTTCCCCATAACAATACAAAATATTTTATTTTAATATTAAATTAAGGAATCTGGTTATTTGTTAATAGGAAAGCAGTTTACTGGTCTAAATTTTCTGGCAAAAAATTTACACAGTAATTTGATAACTTTTGTTAAAAGATGTTTTTTTATGTATATAAAGATTCTTAACTGTAAAAATGAAAGTTCGCAGCTTAAAATATGGATTTAATTAAAAAGTATATAAGCAGAAAGGAAAAGACAGGCAAAATAATAATGAAAATCATAAAATCATTTAAGGAAAATGAATACTTAGAAGACAAAGATTAACTCAACAAAAATTTGCTAAACCCTTTTAATGAACAGCAACTAAGAGTCTTGTTAAAATGAACACAAACTACACTTCTAAAATTTCTCAAACTCAAAAACTCAAATCTGAAAACCTTAAGGCATTTCACAAAATACATTGAATAGTTAAATAGCAATTGATAATTTTTTTCTTGAGAATCCTAACATGCATGATATATGTAATATTAGACCTTCACTGTACAGTTCACATATACATGACTTTCTGGACCTGCTTTGGCAGTTACTATAAGAAACTCTTTTTTCCTTTTTATAATGATGGAATTGAATCCAAGGCATAAAATAGGAAAACTCTTAAAGCTAAATCTTCAGTTCACCCATTTTTCTATTTAACACAAGTCAAAAGAAACTCCTTAACTTTGATCTCTTGCTATGAATGATAAAGATATACCATGATATGTGGAAAAGTTTCGTTACAAATTCTATTTCTTTTTTCTTTTCTTTTTCCTTGGCTTTTTCCAAGACTAGGTTTCTCTGTAGCTTTAGAGCCTATTCTGAAACTCACTCTGTAGACCAGGTTGGCACCAAACTCACAGCGATCCTCCTGCCTCTGCCTCCGGAGTGCTGGGATTAAAGGCATGTGCCACCACCACCCAGCTACAAATCCTATTTCTGACCTTGACATCTTCTACTAACTTCTTCATATTAAAATGCGATAGCACATCAGTACGCACTGAAAATAACTCCATTCCTTTACTACTCCGACCGTCCACAGTTAAAGTGAAACACACACTTGGAGTTCGTACTCAGTCAATCTTAGAGGAAAGGGGTGAGGGGCCAGTGAATGGGGATCTGAAGACTTCAGAATTACAAAAGCTAGTGACCTAAAAGCTATGTCCTATGTGCTGTCCCATGTGCTGTGCATGGTGGCTCATGGCAGACAGCACTGAGTTCACTGCCAGCCTGACTTATTTAGACAGCTCCAGGACAGCCAAGGGACACAGCAAGACTGCATAAAGAAGAAAAGGGAAGAACAACAGGAAAACTAACGCAGTGGCTGCAGGCTGTGGTCAACGGAGAACTCCTGCTACCCAGAAAAACATGAATGAAAGAACCAGAAACTACCAAAAAACCTTTCTGACTAGAAAGATGCCTAATCTCATTCTCTGATCAATAAAACAGAGGGGTAAAGTCATTTCCATTGGCATGGTGGCACACTCTTTAATCCCAGCACTCAAAAGGCAGAGGCAGGCGGATTGCTGTGAGTTTGAGGCCAACCTGATCTAAAAAGTGAGTTCAAGAAAGCCAAAGATACAGAGAGGAACCCTATCTTGAATCCACATGTTCAATGGACATTAAATAAGTTTGCACACTGCAATGGAGACCTGGAAGCTAAGCACAATGAACCAGAACAGTAATAGAGCTCTTTGGAAGGGAAGAGCCATATCAAACAAGCCACAACAATGAAAACCATTTTCTTGTCTAAGTCATTGCAATTTCCACACAACAAGGGATATATATCTAAGAACAGATCACATCTTGTGTCTTAGTCTATAAAGAGAATCTGGAGTTTAAAAGACAAAACTTGGTGATAAGTACACAGTTACAAATGTGTTTATTCCAAGCACCAAAAATCATTAGGCATTTAGCTCTCTGTCCTGCTTAAATGATAAAAGGATATCACAAAAAAAAGTTTTTTACGCTACCTTTTTCTGTGCTCCCATTTATTTTAGGTAAGAAGTCATCAACTTGTATCCCTAGGATTAAGACAGGATATCATTGCCTGATCAAACAAAGTATTAATTTTAAAACTGGCTTCAATGTTACTATGGCATTTCCTATTCCTACTCACACTGACTCTGTATAGAACACTATATTCAGAAGAGTTCAAGCGCCTTTCTTTACTAATTCAAGCTTGGGGACTTGCCAAAGAACCTCAAAAGAAAGAGGATCCTAAGACCACCTCAGAGGCAGGACCCACACTGTCTGCAGGACTACACAATGGGGCCCTCTGGTGGCAATCATGAACATTTTAAAAGGAGATTTTTTGAAAGTATCCTTTGGTTCTTGACACGTAAACTATTAAACGTGAGAAGTAAACGATGTGAGAGGTGAAGGATGTGAACAAACAAAAGCTTAGTGAGAACATCTGTAAAGAAGGTGACACCTACCTAAGCTGCTGCATTCTTTAAGAGTTTTCTCCTGCAGATGTTCTAACCGTACTGTAAAAAACAGTCCAAGAAAAAGATATTTCACAGACAAAGAGAACAAAAATCAAATAAAACCAATTTCTGTATCAGCTAGCTTACCTTGTAAAGCTGTTAGCCTTTCATTGGTGAAATCATTATCAGCTTGCAAAGCTTCTATTTTTGCCTGGAGCTCCTGTTCTTTTTCTTCCATTTCATCTATTTTATTCTGTAATTCTTTCTTCTCAGCTTGTCCCTTCTGTTGGATTTCCTCCTGCTTTCCCTCTGCTACCTGTTGAGTAGGGCTCTTCAGTCATTTCATAAAACCTCACTTGCTTTAAGAAGCCTAAGGCCAGGACTGACTTCATTCATTTATACTTCTAAGGAATCTATTCAGAATTAGAGAATATATTTATAAAGCTGATTTTCTAAAACAAATAAAGACAGAGATATAATGTCAAAACTGACATGGCACTGAGAAGGGAAGAACTTAGGAGCAAACAAGCACTCACAAAGATAAACACACAGATAAGGAGTCAAAATTAAATCCTCCATGTTTTTTAAATGGGAAATATATAACCCAAATTTACTATTATTACAACTTGTTTGTACATTCTAAAATGTTATATCACTTTAAAATTTATTTATGTTTGGCTAAAAAGATGATGGCACAAACCCTTAAACACGTTTCTCTTGACAAGACCTCCCTGAGAACTACCATAAGAGATGCTTGGCCTGTCTGACAAATACCTATCTTGTACACACTCAACTGAGGCCAGGTCATTTTTCTCTTGTTTTAATTGATTTTTAAGTTAATATCACAAAGGACTGTGTTTTACTGTGGTATTCTTCATACATGTGTCTAGACATTTATCCTCATTGGCATTGCCCTTCTCAATGACTCCAGCCTCTCTGGCTGTTTCCTTTCCTCGTTCCAAACAGTTCCCTTTCTGCTTTCATATAATGTGCGTTCTATTACCCGCTCCTCTCTCCAACCCCACCATCTCTTCCTTCCCTCTGGACCCCCTTCTAGTTTCAAAACCCACCAACAGATATAAATTACACTAAGATGGATTTTCAGCAATGTGGTCACAAGACTTTGAAGGACCAACTAGACATTATTTTATGGTCTGATTTCTTTATTCCAAATGTCCCAGAGGGAATAGCAACTGAAACAGAATCAAGAGTACACCTGAAGGACAACCAGGGCTCAAACAAATTGTTCCAAGCTCCCTCTGAGTTTGTTACAGCACTGAACAACTGGTCCCTAACTTTGAGAGGCCCTAAAAATGAGTAGGTTTTAAAAAGTATCAGACTATACTAGATTTTGTTAATTCTTTTTTAAAAACTTTATTATTACTATTTGTACATATGCATATATGATGCATGAGTAGGTGCACATGGAGATCACAGCACAATTCTGTGGTGTCCATTTCTTTCACCTTTATATAGGCTCCCAAGAAAGAACAGGCTTGTATGACTTTACCCTATGAGACACCTTATTCTTACTCTAGCTATGATTCTCTGTTTTTATAATTTACTATTACTGCATATATCTCATTTTGGCCCTTGACTACTACTTTAAAATTTATTATTATAAAATACTACTATAAAATAATCGATAATTTATTATTAATAATAAAATAATTAATAACTTATCATTATTATTTATATGTGTGTGTCTGCCTACATATCTTTGTGTTTACATGTGTGTATATTACAAGGCTAAGTTATGGGGCATGGGTGCCATGGCCCTCACATGGAGATCAGAGGACAACTTTGGGGACTTTCTGTCCTTCCACCATGGGTTCTATGACCAAACTTAGCTCTTAAAGCTTGCATGACTGCTGTGGGAAATGTTCTTGGACTCTGTAAAGATTTATTAAACTCATATCAGTTTAAGAAAATGCTGATTGACCACTACCCAGGCAGGAAGAACAGGCGGGACAACCAGACTAAGAATTCTGGGAAGAGGAAAGGCTGAGTAAGTCACCAGCCAGACACAGAAGAAGCAAGATGAGAATGCCTCACTGATAAAAGGTACCAAGTCATGTGGCTAACACAGATAAGAATTATGGGTTAATTTAAGTTGTAAGAGTTAGTTAATAATAAGCCTGAGCTAATAGGCCAAACAGTTTATAATCGTTATAAGCCTCTATGTGTTTCTTTGAGACTGAATTGTAGGACAGAAACTCCAATTACACAGGACAAATGCCCACATTCTGCATCATCTTGCCAATTTGCATCATATGAGAATAGATGATTCTCATCTACTTCCAAGTGTATACTAGAAGATGCTGTTCTTTTCTATACCATCCAATCTTAGTCCATGTGGTGGGGAAGCAAACACTGAAAGATGACTATTGTGAAGCACTGACTCTATTTCCATCTACAGGAAGTATGTCTGTTTTAAAGGCTTTCAATTTTCAACAGCAATTGGAGGGTAGACGAAACAGAATACATTTTCTATTTTTACTGTCAATCTCAACATTTCAGCTTTACTAAATTTTACATTAACAATTAGTGAGTGAGCCTGGCGGTGGTGGCGCACGCCTTTAATCCCAGCACTCGGGAGGCAGAGGCAGTCGGATCTCTGTGAGTTTGAGATCAGCCTGGTCTACAAGAGCTAGTTCCAGGACAGGCTCCAAAACCACAGAGAAACCCTGTCTCGAAAAAAAAAAAAAAAAAAAAAACACAATTAGTGAGTGATGCATAAACTTTTAAGCTGTTTTAGTAGTTAGGACTATTAGCTTAACATGCTTTCAGGTAGAGTAAAAACAAAATGTGATGGTTTGAATAAGAATGTCCCTCATAGGCTTATATGTCTGAATACTTGGTCCCCAGATGGTAATGCTGTTTGGGTAGGTTTAGGAGGTATGGCTTTAGGAAGTATGCCACAGAAGATAGGCTTTGTGGTTTCACAATCCTCAAGCCAGTCCCAGTGAGCTCTCAGCTTCTAGCTCCAGTCACCATAACTGCTTGCTGCCACGCTTCCTCTCCATGATGCTGATAGAGCCTTAATTTCTGGAACCTTAAGCCCAAATAAACCTTTCCTTCTATAAGGTGTCTTGGGTATGGTGTTTTAACACAGCAGTAGAAAAGCAACTAATATACATACCTTTACTTTATCAGATAAATCTTTAATTTCATTAACCGCTCCATTATATTTATTGGCTAACTCTCTTAATTCTTCCTGAGTCCGTTCATTCATTTCTTTTAAGTGGGTACATTCATCTTCAGTATTACTCAGACTTCTCTGCAATTCAAGTTCACATGCAATTCGTTTAGAATAAATGGATACTTATTTAAATTTTATCATAAATTCAACTTGTAAAAAGTATAGCTTGGACTATCAACATTTGGACTAAACTTGTATAAAACTGAATTAAAAGACAAAATAATTTCAGTTTATTTCAGGAACATGTATACTAAAACACTACTAAGAATTTTTTTTTTTTAATGTTGGGAAACGGGGCAGAAATAGCTACCTATTACTTATACTTTAAAAGGGTCAACCAGTACGACTTTGAGCCTTGAAAATATTTTAGGGCCGGGCGGTGGTGGCTCACGCCTTTAATCCCAGCACATGGGAGGCAGAGGCAGGTGGATCTCTGTGAGTTCGAGGCCAGCTTGGTCTACAAGAGCTAGTGCCAGGACAGGCTCCAAAGCTACAGAAAAATCACCAACTCCTTTTCTATTTGTTTTTGAAACAAGACTGTTACTCAAGCTGACTTCAAATTCACTATGGAGTCTAGGCTAGCCTGAAATAATCTGCCTCAGATTCCCAAGTGCTAAGAGTAAAAGTATACTTTATCACATCACCTCTAAGTCGACAATCCTTAAAGTAACTTAGCAATACCACATAGCAATTCATCTAATGCGAAAACAGCAATATAGCTTGAAACTTTATTTGTATATCAATTAATCAAGCAACAATGAACATAAAGCCCATACAATAGAATGAGACCATAGTACAAACTATCCAGGTCCTCACACATGCTAAGAACATGCACACTGAGCTAAACCCTCAGTCCCAAAAATCACATTTTGATTGTTCCTAGGACCTAGAAGAGATCCCTCATAAACTCCCAAAGCACAAGATATAGGGTTATTCTAGAGCTGTGGTTCTCAACTTCTGGGAGAGGATAGGACAAAGAAATTTATTTACATTGTGATTCATAACAATAGTAAAATTACAGTTATGAAGTAGCAATCAAAATAATTTTATGAAGAACTGTATTAAAGGGTCGCAGTGTTGGGATGACAGAACCACTGGTCTGGAAGACGGGTACAGTAATAAAGTTCTTGAGACCATCCTCCACTAAAAAACAGCACATTTATAAGACATGGTGTCCACATCTTTAATTCAACCACTAGGGAGACAAAAGTAGGTGTAGTTCTGTGAGTTTGGGGCCAGCCTGCTCTAACAGCAAATTCCAAACTAAGCAGAGGTACATAGTTCAGCTCCCAGCATACATCTCAAATGTCTCAAAGCTGCCTATGTTAGGTCCAATGGAGCTAAGACTCGGACTTCTGCAGACAACTTCACTCGCACACACAAACACACCCACGCGTATACTACATATAGACACATAATTTTAAAAATAAATCTTTAAAACCAATAACAATAAAAATGAAATACCTCAACTTCTGAAAGTTTTCTGACCACTTCGATTTTCTCCTGAAGAACCCGCCTCAGGGACTCTTTGGCTGTTGTCTCATAGTTGTGTTTATCCTCCTGCAGTGCTATGAGTTCCTTCCGTAAACTATCTTCGGTTTGATTCTACCACAAAAGACAATTATATCACACCTAAGTTACTCTTCTTTGAAAGAAACAAGCACATTACGATACTCTAAATTATATGTTCAGGTACTCCCCCAAAACAAATATTAGCCTGCTATTAACTGAATCTGAATTTTAAAGTTGTATCAGTAAATTATGCCCTTAGAAATTATACTAATTGGGGGAGAGGGAGGGAAATGAGAGGCGGTGGCGGGGAAGAGACAGAAATCTTTAATAAATAAATAATTAAATAAAAAATTATACTAATTCCAATAGGAAAGAGCTAAAGGCAGTAATTTCTCTCAAATATTAAGATTAATTACTCATGTTCTGTCATCATATTTCCATCTGTGAACAAAAATCATGGCTATCAAAAGTACCAAACATTTTAGAACAATGGCTAAGATAAAAGAGTAAGAGCATCCTGAGGAAAAAGGAAGACTCCAGGTCCAAACAAGAAAGGTGTAAGGTGAGCATGGAGCGTTCTGTCTAGTGCAGCCACAGGACGCTATCCAAGTCAGCTTTATCCAGAGAGACAGCCTCAAGAGGTTTACTCATAGGAAACTCTGGATAATTTGATAATCAACAAAGCTAACTACTAGTATGGACTGAAACACACCAAATATATTTAAATCTGAGCAGGGAGAAAGTACTTCATTGTCATTCACTGGTGGATAAAAGGAAGATCAATTTATTCTTTTTATCTAGTAAATAATAGGGGTGGGTCTCATTCTATTTTTTCTGTATAAAATGTACTTTGGGGTAACAAAATAATTGATGAGGGAATAATTATCTTTGAAGAAGTAATCCAGCTAAGTAAATAAAGGAATGATAGAATTATATCACTATGTTAAAAATCTTTCATAAAATAATGGACATAGTGAAGAATCACCAATGACAAAATTCTAAAAAGAAAGCCATTTAGTCATTATGTTCCTTGACTAAAGAACAATACCATCCATGAAGTGTTTTTGGCAAAAAAAAAAAAAAAAAAAGAAGAAAAAATCTAACCCAGACCAAATATCTATTATTTTATGCCTAGAGAATGAACTAAAATAATAATAATAATAATAATAATAACACTATAGAATAAATCACAGTTCAAACGGCAAATAACCTCTTCAATAAATATCAACTGCAATAAAAAAGTAATTAGAACTGGCCACAGGCGTGTATTACAGAATTCTTCCTACTTATAGGTATGCGTGGATTCTTTTCATGACAAAGATATAAAGCAATTTTGGGATTATATAAAGGGCTTAGCACACAGTCAGATAGAAAAAATGAAACTACAGAACCGCATTCTTTCATATATACCTGAGATTAAATACATACTTTGGAGCATGCCTGCAATTGGTTTCCCATAACTTCTAACCGTGATAAGAGTCTATCTTCATCTATTAAAGCCTGTTGGAAAAAAATCAGATACAAATAAAAGCCCACAGTAACAAAAAAGGCAAGTATAACAGATTCTATTGCCTAGAAAAGAAACAAAATTGAAAAATCAATCAAAATCTGCTACAAAATGCTGTTTCAACATTTGTTCTTTATATAAGGAATAACATTACTTTTACTTGCCTAAAATCTAATTTTAATTCACTTAACACATTAAAAAAACTATTAAACTGTTTAAATGGATTCTCGAATCTAAAGTAAATGGAGTACCTGCCAACTGGTATCTGAAGCTTCTTGAGTGATGGCTAATAGCCGCTGAAGTGTGGCTAACTTCTGTTCCAACATTTGTTCCCGATGTAAGGCCTCCTACCATAAATCACAAAAGAAATGCTAAGAACTCAGTCAGCAACATGATTCTTCTGAAGAAAAACACTTGATATAATCTGAATATATTCTCGGATTGCACTCTGGATGTAGTTCATTATTTTACCCATCTACGGGACTGCAAGTACAGATATAATAAACTTTGCCCCAGATGGAAAACAAGTTACTCATTTCTGTTTTCTTTTTATTAGTAATTTACTAAAAGAGGAAGTTTCAAAATGCAGATTAGAAAAACTTAAAAAATGTTTATGTTTCTGCTTATATTTCATAAATACACATAAATGTATCTTCAAACAAATGTATTTCAAACTAAGGCATCAAAGATACCTGATAACAACTCTACAGCATGGCATCTAAAATAGTAACAGCGTTCAGCTTTTCCTTTCTAAAATGTTATGTAAATACATGCACATACATTTAAATGCTTATGGCATTTTCAGGTACTCTAATTCTCTCCCTGATTATGTCATTAGGTAATTAATATTCAAGAAGTAAGGGTTCACTAAATATTAGCTTGATGTAATTAAGGGGTCAAAGGAACACATAACTATGGTGAAAGAGAACCAAGAGCAAGACTACTCTGTAGTTGACGTGTGATAGCTGCTAACAGCATCCCTGCCCCACCTGTGATGGCAAATGGCCATATCACTGGGCTGTGGCTTTGGCACAACTTCATCTTCTGTCATTCCTGTAATACTCAAAAAACACTTACAAGCATTCTATCTTTGAGCCACCTCGAGGAGAAGTATATGCTTCAACTATAGCATAAGTCTTAAACATTAATTTATTGCTCTCCACATCCTTGATAAACGACGACTAGGGACTAATGTAGACTCAGAAGTCCTTTGTTTTAATGTAGACTAAGGAATCTGACCAAAAAAAAAAAAAACCCATCACCTCATAATCCATATTAAAATGGCTATTTACCATACTTTATTTTAAGCTCCTGAAACATTATCCAGGAAGTAACAGATAGAAATTGTTTTACTATAAAACAAAGCCACCAGCCAACAAAGGCTTTAGATACTACCTCCACTAGATGGTGTCATTGTATCTCTTAAAAAATTCATTTCCATTAGTTTCTTAATTCTGAACCAAACTCCAACAAATGTAGCTCTCCTGAAAATAGTCTTTTAGATCTAAGGTATGAAATGCACCTATTTCAACTTTTATTTAAGGCTTCACAGTTTACATTAGCGTTTCACAATCCAGTAAAGATTATGCAAGAAGGAAAAGAGGAGGTGGGACAATTCCTTCCAAAGAGTTAGTACATATAAATGGATGTTCAAAGATCTGACAGAAAAGATGGGACAGAATGAGAAGTATAAGAGTCTCATTCATGATGATCAGCCACCACACTACACAGAACCAGGCCAATTATTTAATTTATATGAACACTGTTATTTCTCATGTCAGAAATGAAATATGAATTAATCTTAACATTCTCAAGAGAGACCTACAAAAACGAATACATCTTCCCATTGAATGAAAATGACCAACGACATTCACATCATATATTTTACATTGTGGGCACTATTCCAAGTGTTTTAATTATATTAATTCATATATCCTTCATAATGTGGAGAGGTGGTTCTACTTATCAACTGCCCACAGAAGGAAAATGAGGTCCAAAGGCTTTCTTAGGAAGCTGGGTGGTGGTAGAGCACATCTTTAATCCCAGCCCTATGGAGGCAGAGGCAGGAAGATTTCCGTGAGTTCATCTTGGTCTACAAATCAAGTCTCAGAGCAGCCAGGGCAACACAAAGAAACCATGTCTCAAAAAACAAACAAATAAACTTTCTTAGGAGATGAGATGTTAAAACCAGGGTTTAAATCTAGTTAAGCTTGATCAATTCTGGCTAGAAAAGCCCATGCTCTTAACTACTTCATGGATGTGCGTATGTGTTCAATCGTTTTCTATATGGCAGTACATGGTGCTTGGTGGAAAATGAGACCTAATTAATGTGTTGGTTATTTCTGTACTTTTCCACAGATGCACACGGCCTTAAAAAAACAAAAAGTACAGGGCCACTGGTCAACAGTTTTAAAGACAAATCCACAAATAAAACTATCCATCAAAGGTCACAGAACTGAACAGAAAAACTAAGATCAAGATCAATACTTCAATCCCTAAACTTCTGAACCAAAGTTACCTTTAAACCATACTCTCTCATTGTATCCCTCTATTGACCCAGAGCCATAATCCTGCCCAAATAAATGAAGAAAAAAAAAAAAAAAAAAAAACCTCTTTGCTTTTAGAGTTGTATGTCTTTTTAAATAAAGAATCAAGAGCTCCAGGAGGCCATTCCAAGTAGATGCTCTGGATCCAGAAACACAGTTCAAACAGGGAGGACTCTGGGGTCTAATTGCCAAACTAAACTCAGATTAGGGGTAAATCACAATGGGTATGACACTGTAAATTCTTAGATCTTCCTGCCCCTTAGTTACTCCACATGGAAAAATAAGAAGTGGTGTGGGACAATTGTCTATATTCTGTCAATTATGTTTTAAATAAATGCTGATTGGCCAGTAGCCAGGCAAGAAGTATAAGTGGGACAACCCAGACAGGAAGTAGAGGTGGGTCAATGAGAACAGGAGAATTCTGGGAAGAGGGAAGCTCCCTCTGCAGTTCTGTCCAGACACAGAAGAAGCAAGATGTGACTACGCCGCTGAAAAGGTACTGAGCCACGTGGCTAACACAGATAAGAATAATGGGCTAATGTAAGTTATAAGAGTTAGTAAGAAGCCTGAGCTAATGGGCCAATCAGTTTATGATTAATGTAGACCTCTGTGTGATTTCTTTGGGATTTAACAAATGCGGGAACCAGGCAGGACAGAAACCTCAGACAACAAAGAATGAGATATCTACATTCCTTACATAGCAGTAAAAACTGTTACATAGATTAAATGAATCAATATAGTATAGGAGGTTCTTCTGTCTATGTGTTGCTTTCAATGGTTAAATAAAGAAAGCTGCCTTGGCTTTTTGATAGGGCAGCACTTAGGTGGGCAGAGTAGACAAAACTAAATGCTAAAAAAAAGAACAGATGGAGAGCTGCCATGAAACTGCCAAAATCAGACATGCTAAATCTTCCCTGGTAGGCCACTGCTACGTGGTAATATACAGATTAACAAAAATGGGTTAAATCAAGATGTAAGAGTTAGCCAATAAGAGGCTAGAGATAATGGGCCAGGCAGTGATTTAATGAATATAATTTCTGTGTGATTTTTTTCAGGTGTATTTCGGGTGTAAGCTAGCCGGGACGACAAACAGCCCGCTCCTCCAGCTATATCAATACAGGTAAAGTGGTTGAACGGAATATGGAATATAACAAGCTTAATTCTATTTAAAACCACCTATGAATAAAGAAGGACTTTGGAATCTCCTTACACTGGAAGAAAAATTTCTCTTGCACATAAGCTTATCTTTTCTAAATTTAATAATCCAGACTCCTTTTTCTTCTTAAGGTCTGTTTTTAAGCCTCCACTCTTCCTTTAAAAGGTATTTCCTGTGTGCGTGTTTCCAGCCAATATTTTTATTCTGTATTTACAATCTGACAAAATAAAATCTAAGTTACTTTTAAAGACTAAGAATTCTCAAGATTGACTTTTACCTGTAGGTACTGAGAAAGTTGGAATAGTTCCTGAGAGTACATACTTGGGGTGTTAGCAGCAACCTAGAAATAAAATAATATAATATCAATAATCAAAGAAAGCATTACATTAAAAAAACTATTAAGAGCCAACATGATGGCTCAGCAAGTAAAGGTCCCTCCGATCTAGCCTGACAACTTCAGTTTGATCCCATGCTGGATAGTTTTATGTTAACTTAACACAGGTTAAGTCATATGAAAAAGGGAACCTCAGTTAAGAAAATGCCTCCATAAGATTAGGCTGTAGGCAAGCCTGTAGAGCATTTTCTCAATTAGTAATCAGTAGGAGAGAGCCCAGCCCATAATGAGTGATGACATCCCTAGGCTGGTGGTCCTGGGTTCCATAAGACAGCAGGCTGAGCAGGTCATGGGGAGCAAGCCAGTAAGCAGTACTCCTCTGCATCAGCTCCTCCTTCAGTGATGAACAGTGATGTGGAAGTGAATACCAAATAAATCCTTCCCTCCTTGAGTTGCTTTTGGTCATGGTGTTTTATCGAAGCAATAGTAACCCTAAATGGAACAATCCCCAATACCCACACGGTAAAAGGAGAGAGTCCTGCAAGTTATCCTCTTATTTCCACATGCATGGTGAACATACACACAAAATAAAAATGCACTTTAAAAATTGAAAACAAACCAATTTCAAGAAATGTCTATTTTCCTAAATATGCAGATAAAATGTTTAATGGACTAGTCTTAATTTAAAATTATTGTGTAAATTATTTCTTAAAATATTTCTGTTGTTTATCTAGAATGTATAAATGGCATTACACTGATCATATCAGACTTATAAACAAGATGATTAAGCAAGAATTATAGTGAAACTTTTAAAGTCAAATCACAAACTTACAGCACAGAGGTACTGAGCCTTTTCATAACACAGAAATAACTCCTAATCAATGCAGTCATCTTTTTCCTTAAAATACATCACTGATTACTTCATTAATATATCAACATGTCACAATTCATTTAGAAATGGCAATCTTCAAAATTCACTTGGAAGTATGTGTCAGGATAGAGGATAGCATGAAATCTTACACTCTACTTACCAAAAAAACCCACAAAAATTTAAATAGGCAAAAAAGATTCTAACATTTTGTCCAATAGCCAGAGTTAATAAAAAATTATTACTATATGTAAATTTTAAGAAAAAGAAGAAATAATCATGTTCAAAAACTACAAGTCAGCCTAACAACTCAGAACCCCAAAGTATCAGAATTTGCTTCAATTAGGGGCTTTTCAAGACTAGTGAATACAGAACCATGTCACTAAAAAAGAAAACAAAGAATACAGTAAGTTGCTGTAATATTTACCCATATCTTGAACACTAATAAGTGTGCATACTTATCCTTTTTTGTTGTTTAAAATGGGGTCTTGCTACAAAGCCCTTCCTGGCCTGGTACTAAGTACCCCAGGTTGGTTTTGAACTCAGCAATCCTCTTATCCAAGCCCCCAAGCACTAGAAATACAAGTATACACTACCACGCTCTGCTGATTTATTAATAATGTTATAGGATCACTGCTCACTAAACTCAGAAAGTACGTTTTCTAATATTCAGACTAAAAAAATGGCATTTTTCTTCGGAAGATCTAAATCAACAAAATCATTATTTATTTTGAAAACAGTTCTTAGCATCAGAAGTTGGTGATAAATTACCATTATTTCTATAACAATAACCTAAGAAACAAGTTCAATTTAAAGTAGGTAACCATTGTTCCTCAAACTAAAGAAAAATGTAAATTGTTTGTCCTCACATTTTAGTGATCACACACACACACACACACACACACACACACACACACACACACACGAAAGCCAGCGGGTATGGTAGAATAGCCCTGGTAGGACAGCTGTGGTAGGATAGCCGTGGTAGTAAGGATAGCTGTGGTAGTAAGGATAGCTGTGGTAGGATAGCCGTGGTAGTAAGGATAGCTGTGCTAGTAAGGATAGCTGTGGTAGGATAGCTGTGGTAGTAAGGATAGCTGTGGTAGGATAACTGTGATCCTAGAACTTGAGAGGTGAAAGCAGGAAGATCAAGAAGTGAACAAACAACATCTTTGGCTACATAGTGAACTCCTCGACACCCAGGGCTATGTGAAACCCAGCTGAGACCCTAAGCAGTAGAGGAGAGGGTGCCTGAACTGGCCTTGCCCTGTAGTCAGATTGATGAATATCTTAAATGTCACCATAGAACCTTCATCCAGCAACTGATGAAAACAGAGGCAGAGACCTACAGCGGAGCACTGGGCTGAGCTTCCAAAGTCCAGTAGAAGAGTGGGAGAAGTGAGAATATGAGCAAATAGGTCAAGAGGATGATGGGAACACCCACTGAAACACTTTACCTAAGCTAATGGGAGCTCACCAGCTCTAGCTGGACAGGGAAGGAAACAGTATAGGACCAAACTAGGCCCTCTGAATGTGGGTGACAGTTGTATGGCTTGGGCAGGGCCAATGGCAGTGGGACCAGGATTTATCCCTACTGCATGTACTGGCTTTTGGGGAGCCCATTCTCTTTGGATGGATACCTTGCTCAGCCTAAATGTAATAGTGAGGGCTGTGGTCCTTCCTCAAAGCAATGTGCTTTACTCTTTCTGAGGAGTGGATGGGGAGTGGAGTGGGGGGGAAAGGTGGAGGGATGGGAGGGAGTGGGAACTAGGATTGGTATGTAAAATGAAAAAAAGATTGTTTTCTTTTTAAAAAATAAAATAAAAGAGACACACAAACAAACAAACAAACAAAAACCAACAACAACAAACCCAAAGCAGAACTTCCAATATTCACAATCATGTCAAATAGTAAAAAAAAGGTTTGGTTTTGTTCTTTGATTACACTCTGATTTTTAGCAATGGCACCTCTAGTTTCAATGCATCATTATTCCTAAACAAAAGAAAATACTCTAGCAATCAACTACTGCAATTTCTAATTCTGTGGTGTCAAAACCGATGTTCAATGGCATTAAAAGAATAATTTCTACAAGTTCTTATTTCAGAGCTGCTTTGATGTATGGGTAAAAACTGAATGAACTTCTTGGATAGAAATATTTGGGAGGCAATCTTACCAAAAGCAATCTACAGATTCAATGCAATGCCCATCAAAATTCCAGCAAAATTCTTCACAGAACTCTAAAGAACGGTACTCAACTTTATATGGAAAAGCAAAAAACCCAGGATAGCCAAAACAATCCTGTACAATAAAAGAACTTCTGGAGGCATCACAATCCCTGACTTCAAACTCTACTACAGAGCTACAGTACTGAAAACAGGCTGGTACTGACATAAGAACAGACAGGAGGACCAATGGAACCAAGTAGAAAACCCAGATATTAATCCACACATCTTCAAACATCTGATTTTTGACAAAGAAACAAAAAATATCAAATGGAAAAAAGAAAGCATATTTAACAAGTGGTGCTGGCATAATTGGATATCAACATGTAGAAGAATAAAAATAGATCCATATCTATCATTATGTACAAAACTCAAGTCCAAATGGATCAAAGACCTCAACATAAAGCCAGCCATACTGAACCTTATAGAAGAAAAGGTGGGAAATACACTTGGACACACTGGCACAGGAGACCACTTCCTAAATATAACCCCAACAGCACAGACATCGAGAGAAACAATTAATAAATTGGACCTCCTGAAACTGAAAAGCTTCTGTAAAGCAAAGGACACAGTCAAGACAAAACAACAGCCTACAGAATGGGAAAAGATCTTCACTAACCCCACATCAGACAGAGGTCTGATCTCCAAAATATACAAAGAAAGTAAGAAATTGGTCACCAAAAGAACATATAATCCAATTTTTTAAAAAAGTGGAGTTCAGACCTAAATAGAGAACTCTCAACAGGAATCTAAAATGGCTGAAAGACACTTAAGGAAATGTTCAACATCCTTACTCATCAGAGAAATGCAAATCAAAACAACTCTGAGATTCCATCTTACACTTGTAAGAATGGCCAAGATCAAAACCACTCATGACAACTTATGCTGGAGAGGTTGTGGGGAAAAGGGAATACTTCTGCATTGCTGGTGGGAATGCAAGCTGGTACAACGCTTTTGGATGTCAGTGTGGCGATTTCTCAGAAAATTAGCAAACAACCTTCCTCAAGACCCAGTAATACCACTTTTGGGTATATATCCAAAGGATGCTCAATCGTGCCACAAGGACATGTGCTCAGCTATGTTCATAGCAGCTTTGTTTGTCATAGTCAGAACCTGGAAACAACATAAATGCCCCTCGACCGAAGAATGGATAAGGAAAATGTGGTACATTTACACAATGGAGTACTACACAGCAGAAAAAATAATGACAGCTTGAATTTTGCAGGAAAATGGATGGAACTAGAAAATATCATTTTGAGTGAGGTAACCCAGGCCCAGAAAGACAATTATCACATGTACTCACTCATAAGTGGTTTTTAAACATAAAGCAAAGAAAGCCAGCGTACAAACCACAATCCCAGAGAACTCAGACAACAATGAGGACCCTAAGAGAGACATACATAGATCTAATCTACATGGAAAGTAGAAAAAGACAAGACTTCCTGAGTAAACTGGGAGCATGGGGAACTTTGGGGGGAGGGCTGAAGGGGGGGAGAGGAGAGGCAGGGAGGAGAGCAGAGAAATATGTAGAGCTCAGTAAAAATCAGTAATAAAAAAAAGAAATATTTGGGAAATTCCTAAACAAAAGTTAACTTCAGAATAAAAGATAGCAGCTAATATTACTTACCTCTGGCACAACTAGGAACAGTCAGTCTACTCGGTCGGTCAGTGGTTTACTTGGGTCACAAAAGCTTTCTCCAAAGAAACTATGCATTCCAAATTCTCCACACAGTAAAGGTTATATTAACTACACAGTCACATTTACTTTATTACAAAACAGAAGTTTTTAAGGTAAAACATTAAATAAAAACACTTCAGTGAAATAAAATGTCAAAGTCTGGAAAACAATCTTTTACTACTCACTTTGTCAACAGGACTTGGTAATGGAGCATGGATGACACTGGAAAGTAAAATTTAGAATTTTATCTCATTTCCTTAAAGCAGAGGAAATGGTACCAGAGCACCAAGATATCTTGACATAACATTCATACACTTGCTCTCACATAATTAAAAGAATGTGAATCATCCCTTCATAAACACATGACATTATTTAAAAAATACATGCATAAACCTACTTTTTACTCATTATTTTTCTTAAAGAGAATTTCAATTCCAAAAGGTATTAAACATCTTTTGAGGATCCACTATTTACTGAGTGCTGTGATAACTCCCTTATTTTTTTACCATTTCAACACATTAAAGTACCTTTTAAATCATGCATCTTATTTGTGTCATATAAGTTACCAAATAATAAATAAGTACCCTGTGTAGCAATCTTTAGTTATAGTCTGGACCGGTGTCCTAGGGAAGAACAACTCCAGTTGTGCACACAGTGGCAGCTACTCTTCACCTAGCCATCTTGGGATGGGACCCCAGTTTACATGTGTGTGTGAAACTGAACATAATATAACAAACACAACAACAGCTGACACTAATTTCCTTTGGGGCCTGATAAGGAACTCTCAACAGAAAAGCAGCAGCGGTTAAGCACAGAGGCTCAGAAAATACACCAACTAGACCAAACTGGCTCTGCTTACCAGCTAAAAGGCAAAGTAATCAGGATAGGCCTCATATTCCTTGCCCATACTCTGTTATTTAGCAATGGCACCTATAGTGTGGGCCCTACAGCATTCTTTTAAGTATTAAAAGATATAGACAAGTAGCTTAAAAACGATGCCTTGAATAGTATCCAATCAATTACAACCTTCTACACCATGGGAAATGTGCCCCAAGGAAGGCAGAGTCCCTGTTTTACAAATCCCTATGAGATACTGTATGTGTCCTGAAGGCAGGTAGAGGGATGTAGAGCAAGGCCTATGTCCCCTATACTTCACATCTTAAAAGCAATCTAGTGACAACCAGCTAGAAGGCCGACTGGGTAAAGTTCCCAGACTCAATTAGTTAAAGCTTGTAAATGCTGAGAAACTGACCTGATATGGCATATACACTGGAGGGTTAAGTACCAACAGCCACTTTCTGCACACCAGAATATCTTGCACAGACTTCAGTGAGCATGCATAAATCTTTACAGTATTTATTTGATTACATGTCTGTGTCTTAAGAATTAAGATCAATTCATCCCTGCATCTACAGAGTCTATCTCAAGGCCTTAACAAACTTGGTGCCTACTGAAGGCGTTTTAAAGTTATTCTTTTTCCCTCCATAGAACTAAAATGGATGTTTTAAATGTAAATTAATTTTTCTTGATTGTGAAGGCAATATATACTGAGAATGAAAAATGTGTAACAAATAAAAAATAAACAAAAATGACTCAACCCTAGCACCCAGAAGTAACCATTTTTGTATATACCCTTTTCTTCTGCCAATATGTACACATAAGGACACTGACTCAAAAACCCTTAAAACACATAGAACTTTTAAAATCTGGTTTTCTTAGTGGCCCAAGAAGAAATTCTTCTGTCCTTATGAAATCTCGCTAGCAAACAAATGGCTAAAAAGCCAAATAACACATTCTGCAAATATATTTGTTTACAGAACCTATATTGGATATAGGTGTACTTTGTCTGAATTGTTGAAAAACTTGTGCATATAAAAAGTACAACAAGGAATAAAAACTGCTATTTAGTGTTAGAATTGAAAAGTTATAGACAATTTCTATTTCTGTTGTTAGGAAATTATAAAAATAGAACAGAAACTAAGGAACAATCAGAACTAAATATTGAAGATCTTAAAAATCCTATACACTATTTACACAGTGGACTTGGCATTCTTGATGTATTCAGTCATTTCAACTGCTAATTAAAATTAGGTTACAATAACAGCAGTCAATGCTCATACTGGATTCATTATCTGATAGGTACTATGCTAAGTTCTTTAAATACACAACTACATTTAAGCCACATAAACTCATGATCGGTAAGTAACGTATCTTTATGTTTCAGATGAGAAAAGAAAGAGCCGAAGAGCCACAACAGGTGCAGCCAGGCGTTCCCTAATGATCTGCTGTCGAGCCTAGTCAGATATTCAGCTTTAAAGAACTGTTTGTTCTAAACTTTTCTTCTAAACTTGAAGCAAAATTTAATATTTAATAGCACTTTAAGAACAGGGAAACTCTTTATTAGTAAATTCCCTGCTGTGCAAGCTTGAGAACCTGAGTTTAATCCCCAGAAACCTTGTAAAAAGTAAGGTGCTTCGGCACGCATGTGAAGTCAGCACCTGGCAGGTGAAGCCAGGACTCTAGGGGCTCATTGATCAGCCTTGCTAAGTTAGCAGTTCTATTCCGATGAGAACCTGCCTAAAAACAAGGGCCAGGGCTCCTGAGGATTAACACCTGGGGCTACCCTCTGCTCTGCAAGCAGGCAATGAACACATGCATATAACAAACATTCACACACAGTCACTAAAAAAAGGAGAGAGAGCAGAGAAGAAAAACGAGAAATAGTGAAAGGGTTTGGGGAAACGAAGGGATTTACTGAAAAGTCTTCAAAATGTTTACATATGGCCGACGAGATGGCTCAGCAGGGAAGGCATCTGTCAGGCAACCATGAGGCCTCGAGTTTGACTACCCAGAATGCGTGCGAAGTCAGGAAGGGTGGCGCATGCCCACACCAACGCTCTGTCAGCAAATTGGGAAGTAGAAACCGAAGAATCCTTGGGAGCTGGGGGGACAGCTAGCCTAGGGCACATGGTGACAAACACAAACAAGCTGGAAAGCAAGAACCAACACCAAGGTTGTTCTCTGACCTCTGGCACACATGTACACGAACACATACACATATATGCAAAGATAAGACCCACATATTCTACTAGCTGGAGCCTAAGAACACACAAGACTTAAGCGACTGCTCAAACCCTTTAACTCTCTCAAAAATGGCCTCCTATCGCCTGCAGTCACTAGTCCCTAAGAAGCTGTATGTCTCTGGTGGATTGCTTACTTATTCTATCACTGAAAGCTCAATTTTTGACCCAAAAGACTTTGTTATGTTGAAGTTCTTGAATTTTACTGTAATTTTAATAAAATAAAATTACATTTTAATAATAAACTGTAATTAAAAGAAATGGTATTTTAATTTCAACTGTTTTACGATCTCTGCTTTGCATCACCTAGCCATAAAACTAAAGAGGGAGAAAAACTATGGTATAAGAAAAGCATAAAACATGTAATTCTAACGATTGACACTAGAGACTATTACAGTAAGGGAACCCACTCTTTCTGCTTTTTCTTTCTCTCTTTCCTATTCGCTATTCAGCTTTCCCTTAAACTCTAGGTATTTTGGCATAATCAAAACAATGTAATTAAACCACTAGTAAAAAGTAAACTGTAATAACAGGACGGTCCTTTGAAGCAAGGAAACAAGTATTTAGCATATTCAAGGCTTTCCCTAAATAAAAACAAACAAACAAAAGGCATTAATATTTAAGTACTGCCTAGGACCTTCCATACTTCACAATGATAATCTGTAAAAAGCACATGATGTACTTAAGTTTACATTTTAAACTTTAGTCTTCATGACAGGACATGATATTGTTTCATATAAAACATAAAAATAGGGAGGGGGAGGGAAATGGGAGGCGGTGGCAGGGAGGAGGCAGAAATCTTTAATAAATAAAAAAAAAAGAGCAACAAAAAAAACATAAAAATACAACTTTGGGGAAAATTCTTTTAGCTACTATAAAAAATACTAACTATATTGACATCTTCAAGTTCTGGATGAATATGACACTGACATTAACTTCACAACAGGCGATCACAGTTTGGAAAGCTCTACATTCAATATATATCAAAAAGAAACAATAACTAAAATATTCTAAATATTGCAAAAAACCCAAAAAATTGTCTATTCAAATATACACTGTAAAGTTAAATTTGGAAATAAAACAACCTTTACCTCTGATCCATTATAGTCAAAACTGAAGTATATAATATGCCAAAAAGTACTATGTCAATTTTCTAATATATCACAGTAATCTTGTAGTATTAATGGGATATCATCACTATAAATATTATCAACTAAGATAATTAATCCAAACTTCACAGCACTAGATTATACTCACTCTGAGCGGAGCCGGGCTTCCATACCATCTGGTAGAAAAAGTTTTATTGTGGAAACAATACACCCATGGGTAACTGGTTAAAACAAATAAAATAATTGTTTAAAAATATGAAACTTGGTGGGTCTCGTATCTAAACTTGTATTTAATTCTTAAAAATTATAATTTATAGGAAAGTAAATAGATCTAGTAGTTTAATGACAGTATCTACTACCTTAGAAAAACTTCCAATTCCTTAACAGACAATGAAAAGTCACCTGTCCAGTGTGCAGAAATAGTAACAGGAAAAAAGGGATAACAGTTTTGTCCCAGTTTGCTGACATCACAGCTAGTCTACTCCCTTTGAAAAGCAGTCCTTATCCTTAATTATCCTGTCTCCAATCTGTCTCCCAAACACAGCTCATAAAACTTTAATGTCCTTTACATACAGTTTAGAACATGTTCATCACCCCCCACACACAACCGGAGGGTCTCTCTGACTCTTCCAGTGTACTGTTGCTAGGATTCACACAGGAAGCTCTCCAGGACAGCTTTCATATGGTTATTGTTCCTCCACCCCAGTACTGTTGGATAAAACCACAACAATCTCAATGCATAAGATTCTTCTCACTCCTCTTCCTACTGATGGTTTTGAGAGACAATCTCCCACATACAACAACTATACAGATCATTGTCTTTCACTGAAAAATAAAATGCTTCCTAAAGATTGATAGCTTTGATTTCTCTGTTCTTAGAATACTGCATCATCGATGGCTCAACAAATTTGTTTATTAAACGGACTAAAAGCCGATGTTGGGAGATAAAACACATGGTATAATGATTTTAATAATAGTGTTTACTGTAGCTGTATATATGTCAAAATTCACTGAGTCTTACAAGAAAAATTGGCATATATTTATTTATACTTCAATAAAACTATTTTAACAATAATTATTGCTTTTAGGGGTATAATATGTTCAACAATTACAACCATAGTATCAAGATGGTAATACAAAGTAATGTGGCTGTCATCTGGGAACATACATTAAATTTAAGGAATTTAGCACAGGTCAATATTTGTTTTTATTAACTGATTATATTTTCTAAGAGCTAACACAGATAAAGAACTATCTACTGGACGGTCTTCTCAGTTCTGCCTGGAATAGCCATCATTGCCATTTGGCTTCTTCCTTCCTTTCTAGCCACATTGTCTAAGCTGTTGCCACCAGTCTCTTACACACACAGGTTACATGCAATCTCCAAACATCTTACTGTTTACAAAACATGTGTACTGTTTTACACATCCTATCTGAGACGTCTTTATCTCCTTGGTATTTTTTCTTAAGGTAAGCAGAATTCCTCATGGCCTCTACATCAGTTCCTGCCTCCAGTTTCCTGCTTTGTGTTCCTGCCCTGATTTCCCTGCATGAAATCATGTTGTCAGCTGGAATAATCCTTTCCTAAGCAATTTGCTTTGGTCACGGTGTTTTATCATAATAGAAGCCCTCTTATCTCATGCCTTATCCTCTCCAACTTTCTTCTCCCAGAACCACTTCATTTAGTCCTTTGACTATTGCTGCCAACCGTGCCCCTCCCTCAAAACCACATCCTGTCTTTTGATTCTTCCCTCCTTCTGATCCTAACTTCTGATACAAAGGGGTCAAATAAAAGCAAATGTTCCCCAGTCTAGCAGTTGGATCCAGTGTTTAGAGCCTGATCCAGTGATTTGTGATGCCATTACACAGTTAGCATCTAGATCTTCTTGGCCCCTGGCATTTCATCTCAAATAGGTGGTCTCGCTTAAAGCATTTATGACTTCAACTCCTGTAAGTATGACGAATAAGTTCTCAAAAAAAAAAAAAACAAAAGTGGTGGAAATGGTATAAGTAGCACAGCTATTTTAAAAGAGGAAGAGTATTACCAGGGAAGAGACAAAAGAAGATGATGGGTAAATTTAACCAAAATATTTCATATACATATATGAAATGTCATAATGAAATAATTATGTCTAATTAAAATATGCTAACAAAAAACTTTTCATAAATTTACAACAGAAAGAAAAATAAGTGGGTGAGTTCTAGAGTAAAACTGCAGCACCAGAGCCATCAAGTGCTACTGCGCATTAGGAATTCTACCCATCAGCTAGATTACAGTTCAGCAATGGACTGATACATAAATCAGTCAAGTGAACCAAGGGCTAATACTGCCTAGGCAGAGAAGTGCATGTCTGATTAAGTACAACCAACCCTTCTGTGAAAAGACCTCATGTCAACTAGATACACAGGTGTGTAGAAAACTTAGTAATCTTTTGGATTTGCAACAGGCAAGTATTTAAAGCAATGTGATATGCATGTTTTAATATTTGTATTAATCAACTCAGTACAGTAGAATTTCCCCAAATACAGTGTCAAAAAGTGTTAACCAAAAAGGAACTGGAGGGGGCTGGAGAGATGGCTCAGTGGTTAAGAGCATTGCCTGCTCTTCCAAAGGTCCTGAGTTCAATTCCCGGCAACCACATGGTGGCTTACAACCATCTGTAAGGAGGTCCGGTGCCCTCTTCCGGCCTGCAGGCATATACACAGACAGAATATTGTATACATAATAAATAAAATAAATATAAAAAAAAACTTCAAAAAGGAACTGGAAGCCGGGCATTGATGGTGCACACCTTTAATCTCAGCACTCAGGAGGCAGATTTCTGTGCTTTCAAGGCCAGCCTGGTCTACAGAGAATGTTTCAGGACAGCCAGGGATACACAGAGACCCTGTCTCTAAAGACCAAAAAGGAAAATGGGGGTTTAATGATTTTGTGAAACACTGGATTAAAAGAAGTCTTAATGTTTTTTATGTGTATTAATTCTGAGCTTTCTTTGGGGGTGAGGAGACAAAAAAAAAAGCTGAAAATATTTCTTAGTGGTAGCGCAATTACCTTGCATATATGTATATATGCAAAGCCCTACATTCAATTCCCAGGGCAGAAATGAAAACTTAACAGGTATTTGTACCGCATGAAGATACATTTTCCAGGCTTATTTGACTGCCAGCCTCACCCCTTCACCCTCTTTCAAAAACACTTACAGAGAATCTGATATCATGAAGGCAATACATAGGACAATAATGTTCTAAAGAAGTCTATAAATACTTTAAATATATTTTGCTCTCAAAAATCACCACAAAAATCATTACTATATTTCAAACTCAAGGACTAAATAGTAAAGCATGTAATTTAGGTAGTTTGTCCAGAAAGAAAAGGGAGCATCAGAACACTGTCACATTAAATAGATAAACACAGATATTCTAAACCACATACAAAATTCATCGGTGTTAATATGAAGAACAGATGTGACCAAATAGAAGCAAGAAAGGATGTTTGGAGGAACTATTCGCAATGCCTCCTCAGACACAGGCTACTAAAGATTACAGTAACACAAGCGCTGACAGCCACTGGGTTTCCTTCCTCTGTCACCAACACAGGCCAGTTATTTTGGTTTTGAGATCTATTTATTTTGTGGTATGTATTCGGCCTCTTTTTGCCTCTTTACACAGATGCACCTTAGGAGACCCATGTTCAGGTTGATTGGTTTAAAAGCTTTAGGAGGCCCTGGAACAGGAAAGGAAAACATTGGGGTATCATTTCTGGCTCTGCTTCCAATCCTGTGCTAGTCTATACTTAGCAGTAACCTGAAGGATCTCAAGAAGACTGGCAACAGCAGGAAGGACAACAATAGAATCATTAAAAACACAAGAAACATTTTAAAAACAAGACCTGGTTCAGATACTAATTTTTCTAGACTGTGAAATGATTTTCATTAATTGATTTTTTTTTACCATTTAAGATAAAATAATTGTTAAAAACCTTCTTTAAGTTTTTTACTTTATAAGGTTTCTAATCCTGAGGCTTTAAGAGTTAGAAAAGCAGAGAAAGATAGGTGACTCAAGAGTGCTTTTCTTCTAAAAATTAAATTAACATTCTATCATTCTGCTTTCTCTTGAGAACTGTAGTTTAATCATCAAAAAGCTTTCAACCTTCCACTCCTTTTTACAAGGCTGTATGTTTTAAGTAAGTACATAGGCTTATGTGCGTGGGTATGTACCCATGAGTGCAGTGCCGAGGAGCAGAGGGTATCAGTTATCATGGTGCTGAAATCTCACCTGTGACTGAGTACCTGATGTGGGCACTGGGAACTAAGCTCTGGTTTTCTTTAAAAGCAGTACATGCTCTTAACCACTAAACCACCTCTCCAGCTCTTCAACTACTTTCTTCTTTAACCTTGGGTATAACTGAGGTTTGTTGTGGTTGTGGTTTTTCCCAAGTACTGGAGATTAAATTAGGACTGTATACATACTCACAAGTGTTCCACCAATAAATCACTCCCCTGCCAACCAAGCTATACTTCTACAGGACAGGAAATATGAGTGCTCTTATTCTTTCTCATTATTTACTTATTTTCAGAATGATAAATAGGTTTCTTCTAAGTTCTTAAATAGTCATAAAAAACAATTTTCACTTTTAGTTTTGATGCAAGTTCATCAACTTGAATATATTTAACATACTTCAATACAAGGCTGTTATAATTTGATGTTAAAATGCCTGTCTTTCACAGTAAAAACTCACTCATTTTATTGCCTAGAAGTTCTTTTACTGGGAGGCCAGCAATATTAAATAACTTTACTAATATGACAAGAATCTTCCGGGCTCAATGTGTGTATTCACTGACCTGGACTCAGCAACTGCTGTTTCTCCAACAAGTTTTATTTCTACCTAGTTGGAAAAGTCATTTCTCATTTCTCTTATGTACCCTGAGTGGTATCATTACTGGCTTATTCTTTTTGTTGGCCGTGAGATGTGTTGGTTCTCTGGGTATACCTACTTGCTCAATAAATAGTCACTGAGAAATTGCTGGCTGCAAAGTAGTATTGCTAAGAATAATGGTGAAAACAATGATGATTATGACTAGGTCCTTGCCCTTAAGAAGATCTCAACAGTGAAACAAACAAAAGACTCATAGGTGCTGCAACAAATAAAAACCAACATGGAAATTTGTAGTAAGCATGGATACGGAAGGATACAAACATACACACACACGTATACATACATACATACACACACACACACATATATACAAATATATATATGAACAAACAAAACAAGATTAGAAAGCAGGAAATAGAAGAAAAGGCCAAAAAATATTAGGAATAGAAAAGAAAGCACAAATAAGGAGGACAGCTGGGGACAAGAAGTAAATGCACTCAAGAGGCAGAGGCAGATAGGTCTCTTAAAAGGTCAAGATCAGCCTGATTTACATAGGAAGTTCCAGGCCAGCCAGAACTACAAGAGATCCTGTCTGAAGAAAAAAGGAAGGAGAGAAAGAAGTAGTAAAGAATGGGGACAGGAGAAATGGCTCAGCAATCAGAGCACTTGCTGCTCTTCCGAGAACCTGGGCTCTAGTCCCAGCACCCATATTCATAGGACAGCTCACAACCACCTATAACTCCAGTTCTAAGGGTCCTACATCTTCTGGCTTCCACAGGCACGTGCACATAGGCGGCAAACAGACACATATATGTAATTTTTAAAAGGAGAATGTATAATCCAAGGCCTTCTGAATGCTAGGCCCCAGGAAATGTTGTCTCACAGTACAAGTGGCCTCTCTTTTCTAACAGTTTGAAAGTCCTGGGACTTCTCCCAGAGCTGCCCAATAGTGCTGTATATCTAAATGCACACTACTGTTTAACACTTAAAAAATATATACATGTTTCCTAAATAACTTTGTGAAAATAAACTTTGTGAAAACAATAAATGCCAAAAGAGAAATAGCCAAAGAAATCTGCAGAAACCTGATATTGCAGAAATAATGTTGTACTGATAATTATCCTAAATCTTCTTCAGAAATAGATGGGGAAGAGTATAAAGGAATCTAGAAAGGGCTGCAAGCTGCACTCTGTAATCAACCCCCACAAAACTGCATATACTTCAGCATATTGAAGGCTTTGCTAGGCATAGCTTAAGTCATTTCCTAGAACTGATAACCACATTCTTCTATCAATTAATGCCTAATAATTCTATTTGAGAACCCTAAATCGATAAGCAGAAATTCCTCGAAGGAAACACAATGTAGTCAAAGTCTCTTCTCTGTGATTTATTTACATGTGGGGCTCCACTCACTTGAGCCTATTATGAGCAGCAGAGAGAGTCACCAGTGCTTCTCTTCCCATTGCCATCACACCAAGAGTTCTCTCCTAAGGAGCAGTCAACACTTTACATCAAGATTCAATCTTTACTTTACAACTGGAAATGGAAATTCCTACAAGGTTGGCCCTACCCAAATTCAAGTACCAACACAACTTACAGAGAAATAAAACATAATCTAACAAAAATAGACTACCATTTTAATGGTAATGCAGACTTATGCAGAGAGCTACACACAAAAATGAGTCAGCACACTGCCAAGTGCATCGTACCATGAAAATATCAGAGTCTAATGATTTAAGACATCATCAGATCAGACCATGCACAGAAAAACAGAAGGAGTAACTTGCCAATCTACTGTCCCACCTCTGAATTAAACTAATAAAGTACAACTGCCCTCTCTGGGTTTGTACCAGAAGCGGTTTAACTTTATGAGTCAATCGTTAGAGTTCATAATCAGAGAGTAAACAAATGAACGAGTCAGAGCCAAGAAACTTCAGAATTGTAAAATAAAATAATTTTAGAGAGCAGTTGACATTATTTAGCTAGAGAGCTTGCCATTTCAGAGACTGTAGCACAGGAAACCTTATATTTGCAATCAGTTCTACCGCCTGCCCCCATGACTTTTCCTCTTTCTTGCTGACAGAACTCTGATTCGTAAGGGATAACAATGCATACTCAACTCAAATCATCATTGGTCGATATCAACCATGGCTCTCCTTGCTCTCTTTTTTGTCAGTCATTGGGTTTCTCTGGTAACTGCAGTGTGTGATCTAGTCATGAGGCCAGTGACTCATAAGGAAATCTTAGCTTGGAGCTCATTCTGTAAGATTGACTTTTCCACACGAAAAGGGAGATAAGCGGGCATTTTATCGCCACATTATCTTTTTGCATGGAATACTGGTATGAGGAAAATGATACCTAGGTTTGCAATTATAACCTTCAGACCATGAGGAAGCAAAAGCATTGAGAAAACAATAGGTTAAAAGAGCAGAAAAAAGGATAGTAAAGGCCTTAAAGTCACAATTATTTATATTTAAATAAAACATTTGACATTCATTACATTATTTTTATAGTTTTTTTTTTTAGTTGCAATACAAAATAATGAGTTTACGCCGGGCAGTGGTGGCGCACGCCTTTAATCCCAGCACTCGGGAGGCAGAGGCAGGCAGATCTCTGGGAGTTCTAGGCCAGCCTGGTCTACAAGAGCTAGTGCCAAGACAGGCTCCAAAGCTATGGAGAAACCCGGTCTTGAAAAACTAAAAAAATAAAAAATAAAAAAAAATGAGTTTAACTATACATATGTGTATGAGCAGAAGTCAGTTGCTGACTCAGATTAAATTTGCCCATTGCCCATGCTGTACTCCTCTAGCTAATTTTCCTTCTGCTTTTATGACCAAGTTCCATTATATCATTAAGTCAACTAACAAACTGTGTCCAGACTGCTCATTAAGTCTCAGTAAATCTTGCTATTGATGATGATAAACACCATCCCCATGTTTTAAATTCATCTTAGCGCTGGGTGGTGGTGCCACACGCCTTTAATCCCAGCACACGGGAGGCAGAGGCAGGCAGATCTCTGTGAGTTCGAGGCCAGCCTGGTCTACAAGAGCTAGTTCCAGGGCAAGCTCCAAAGCTACAAAAAAACCCTGTCTCGGGGAAAAAAAACCAATAAACAAACAAACAAACAAACAAACAAATAAATCCATCTTAGCTAGGATGTAAAATCACTACAACCAAGTGCTTCCTGACACAATAGCTCCTGATGTTTTTATAGCATAAAGAAGAATATTCACTACTAATTAACATTTTATAATTTATAACTTTAGAAAAGCAAATAGAAGAGGGTAACTTAAAATTTTTGCTTCATATATCATACTTAAATAGATTTTACAAGCCTGTAATCTTTTATATCACTAATAAATTTTAAAACTTATAAAGAGAAATAACAAGAAAAATTGATCCATACTCATACCTTTGCGGGTATTCTCTGTCACATCTACCCCAAACTGGATAATGTCACCAGAAAGAATTTCACATGGTGGACTTTCCTCCGAGCCTCGACTCAATCTCTGGCTATTTATAAAAGTACCATTACTACTCTTAGTGTCTTGAAGATAAAACTGGAAAGAAAAGAAAAAGCAAAGGGTTAGCAGTAAGAATTTCAAGCTTACTTTTAAAAAAGTGCTGTCAACTTTGCAAACTACTTCAAGAGCAGTAGCAACTGAAACCACTCATTTCAGTTAATATTCAACACACATGAAAATAAAAACTTAAAACTGGATAGTTTGAAATTTAACTGGACATATGGTAGAAACACCTTATAAAACAGTTTGTGTTGTGTCCTCAAAGTGTTAAAACAAAGTTAGAGGACAACCCAACAATCCTAAAACTCCTTGGTATTTATCTAAAATAGTAGAAAGCACAAGTCTTCACAAAATTTGCATACACACACACACAAAGGCATTGTTCATAATAATCAAAACCAGAAACAACTGAAATGTCTATCAGCTGAGTGAACAAGTGCTGCACATCCACATACAAGGTTATTAACTGACAATACAAAGAATAAAAGTATTGATGCCTATAACATCATATGATGAGCCTACAGAATATAATGCAAAATAGAAGAAGACAGTTGGGGATGAGGGTGATGGACCATGCCTGTAATCTCAGCAGGCAGGAGGTCTGTGAGATCAAAGATGGAAGACCCTGTCTCAAGATAAAAAAAAAAAAAAAAAAAAAAAAAAGACAAATATGGACGGGAGGTGCAGCTCAGTGGCAGAGTGCTTCTCAAGCATACGCAAGACCCTGGATTCAATCCCTAGCAGCACAGCAGAGAAGGTGGCAAGGAGAAGCAGCTGCAGCATCACCACAAGTGCCCAACGATCATATATTATATCAGTTCATTTACAGGAAATAGATCAACTGTGTAAGTACATAAAAAAGTATATCAATGCTTGCATGGAACTAAGGTGGCAGGTTGACTGAATGATAGTTTCTTTTAAGAGTAATGGGGAAAATACATAATAAAGGTGATGGTTGCACAACACCATGAATGTACTAAGCAAACACTTTAAAATGTGAATTTTAATTCTGAAATAGTAGCCCATTCCTACAATCCCAACATTCAGGAGTCTGATTTGATACCAGCCTGAGCCACATAGTAGCTCAAGGCCAGCCAGAACAATATAATGAGACCTTAACCCAAGAGAAAAAAGAAAAAGTCTATGATAATAGATATCAATATATTCATTTATAAATAAGACATGTGATAAGTTAAATTATCTTTCCAAAGGTTACAGAGGTGACACATAAACAAGTATTCAAATAATACAACCAAAAGAATATTTTCCCATTATTTCACAATGACTTTGTTTTATTATCCTTTATTCATCCCATAAGTACTCTTACAAGATTAATCACATCAAAGGCTAATAATCTGCTAAAATGTAAAAGTGACATTTCATTTCATTTATTCCCTGAACAATTAAAAACTTGTGACAATTAAAAACTACTATACTACCTACAAATGACTTATTCTATTGGTTCAACAACACACCATGACAGAGCAGCAAAAAAAAAAAATTAAAATTATATAGAACAAGGTTCAGTACTATTCATTAAAACTTTGTTAGAAAGCAAATTAAAATCCATATCCATATACATGTATATGGCTCCACTTCTCCATCTGTAGAGTCTACACACAATTAAAATAAATTATAAAAATAATAAGCCAATATTAACGTATGTTCTTTTCCTTCTGTCATTACTTTACTATATTACTATTCAAAATACACTATGCTATATTTGGTCTCACTTAGCTGGAACATATTATTTATATTACTTGCTCAATTTCTTTTCTTTTTAATCTAATGGCTTCCAAATACCTTAGAATAAAATATAAAGTCCTTTCTGCTGTGGCCTAGAGTTGATTCTGTACGATCTCGTTCCCTCTATGAACTCAGTTACTCCAGGTCTTTCCTTGACACACTAACACACTCATGGCTCCGAGTCTGTACTTGTCCACAGACTGCATTTAGTTCCTTGAACACATATCTGCCCTTGGCAGCTGTTGTAGTTGGTTTTAACTGTCAACCTGGTCAGAGAATCTCACTGTGACATGAGATGGGATCTCTGGGTTACACTGGTAGACGGACATGTCTGTGGGGGGTTGTCTCGATTATACTCATAATGATACAAAAAGATCCACCGTAGTTAGGGCCAGGGTTGCAGAAGTGAAGAAAGCCAGCTGAGTGCTAGCGTGTGTCGATCTCTTCTGCTGGGGTTCCTGAGGCCTTGACTTCCTCACCATGATGGATTATTGTTCCCTGGGCTGGGCTAAAATAAACCTTTCTTTTCTTTGTCAAGAGTATTTTTCACAGCAACAAAGTGTGTGTGTGTGTGTGGGGGGGGGGATAACAAAGGCAGTGAGCTGTCCTTAACAAACAAACAAACAAAAAAAAACAGAACTAAACAATGGTTTTGTACCACCTCTGAAATAATGTTATTATTAGGTCTACACTATACAGAAATCACGATATTTACTCTTAGGTTACGTTAACTAAAGATGTCAACTTGTTTGCAAGGACGGGAAGAGACTATGTTTAAAGCTCCTGATTGCTTTCACAAAAAGCAGAAATACCAGTTTGTCCTGTCAAACCAGAAATATTCTTCTTTATGTTTTTCCTCTTTAAAAGTTTGATCATATCTGAAATTTTTAATGAAGACACTGGCAGATTTATGTTTCCCCAGCACCTTAGCAGTTCTACTGACTCAACTAGTTACTAGGCATTCACCTTGGTGTTAAACAGGTGTATAGAGTCCTAAATTTATTTTAAAAAACAAAACAAAACAAACCTCTGGCTTGAAGACCAAAGTTCCACAATGGTACTTTCATTGTTTTCAGGCTTTAATTCTTCAATTTACTCTTGCTTTCCCAAGAGAGCTTTGAGCTTCCTACAATCATGAATAGATAGTGGTTCCTAACCGAAAGGCTTTCTCTACCAACAATGACTTTCCTAATTTCTTGCTGACCAATGCACAGTCACAGCACTGTACAATTACATTACCCGACTTCACAAGGTTTCTATGTAGATCGACTCTATAAATGCCCACACTGTACATTACTTTCAATGTGAAATATGTAGACACTTGCATTCCTACATAATGATACACTGCTTCTTTGTAACCTTTCAATGTTAAAGGGCTTTGCAAATATCCAAACACCAAAAAGAGCCGAAGCTTCCAAACAAAACACAAGCATAGTTATGTGTGTATCACACACACACACACACGTGTATGTGTGATACCAAATATATGACAGACAACCGCAAATTCTAACTCCATATATAAAAGAGGTTTATTTGTTGATTCCTCAAGACAAGCTCTCCTGTAGCCCAGGCTGGCCTCATTTGCAGATGGTGAGCGTGAACTTCTCATCTTCCACATGCACCACTCCCGGTGTTTTATTTATGGACCAACAGCAACAGCCTCGGCACCACACAGGGGAGTTTCTAATGACTACACAATGAATTCCGTGTAGACTGCAGATTTTGCAAAAATACATTTTTAATCTACCTCAATCATCACCTAAAATGAAGCAGAGTGACCAAGACATAGCCAAAATCCAAAACCCCATGGACAACATTTAGAACCTCAAAACAAAAACAGGGAAAACAGCTTCCTGGCCATATATAGTGCAGCTGACTGGACCTGTGTATGACAGATACTAGGTATCCATTCCGTGAACAGGTTGGAGGACAGTGAAAGGAAAGTTGAAAATGGAAACATTGATCTCAACCTCAATCCAGTAACAATATAAACTTGGTTCCCAATTGAACTCAGACCAGAGCCTTCTTAATGTGAAAAACTAGGCTCTACCACTCAGGCAAACAAGCTCTTCTACAGAAATTCTTGATACCAACCAGCCAGCCAAAGCTACCTTCCAAGACACAGTTCCTCAACGACAGAAAACTGCTTGAAACGAAACCAAAACTGACAACAGGCCAACAAGAGAAAAGATTCAGAAAAAAGGTGGAAAAGGAAAAATAAACTCATTATTTTTTTTAAAACATTTTACAAAAAAAACAGAAGAGGGTGCTCTGTGAACTTGAAAACAAATGATGAGACCATAGGAAAATAACTAGACACAAGACAATAATACAAAACAACTGGGCAGGGTGGACAAAATCTCTAGAAAAGGTAAAAAAATAAATAGGAAAAATTCTACAAGAAACATTTGAGCGATTAAAGCACAATAAACAATGCCTAAAGAGAAATGAAAAACAAAATAGAAGCATTTTTTTAAAGAATCACAAAGACAGGAACAAAGTGACACCAGCAAAACACTAGAGTGGGCAGCTCCAAGCATCTGCCACACAGAAACAGTAAAAGAGAAAAACCCGACAGAACCAGCTTTGCTAGACTCCAGGAAATATGCAGACTTAGAGCAGTGCACAAACACTTCAAATCCAAGTAATGCTAACAGCAAAGTAAGCCAGGCTCGAATACTGCATGTTCTCTCAAATACAGAGTCTAGGTTTTGTACTGTGTGCGTGCGTGTGTGTGTGTGCGTGTGTGCGTGTGTGTGTGTGTGTGTGAATTACGAGGGTGGAAGGATGACTGGGGTAAGAACAAGGTCTGCAAAGAACATAGGAAGTAATGGAGGAAAAGTCCTGGCGTTTCCCTTCCATGGAGAACCCAGACTTCACATGCACTCGAGCATGCATGCTCACACACATATGTCATGACATGTTTATGACAAGAAAGCAGAAGAGGACTATTTGGGGAGAGGAAAAGAATCAGCAGGAGCAGGGAGATAGGGGGATTAATAGGAGAAAAATATGAGCAAAGAAAATGATATACATGTATGAAAATTTCACCAAAAAGCCAATAATACCATGAACTTACTTAAAAAACATGTATAATTTTAAATGACTTCCTTAAAAAAGAAAAAGAAAAAGCAACGGACAATTTCAAATGGTAAGAAATTCTGTGGTATGACTTACCCTTGGCCCGCCTATTCTCCAGAACAGTAGAAATCTGGCAATGCCAACATGCGTTCCCAGAATGGGACCTTGGTACCTGGCTCCAGAGGGAGCAGACCAGACTGTAATCACAA